CTTGATTTATCTACTATTGAGAGAGATATTGACATCTTCCACAATAATTATGGACTTGTCTGTTTCCCTTGAAGTTCTGTAACTTTTGCTTCATGTGTTTTTAAGCCTTTTTTTAGATGCATAACTGTTTAGAAATGACTTTTTTTTATCATTACCAGGGATAAAATAATTTCATAATATTCTTTTCTCTGTAATCAATTTTGATTAAAATAGCCTTTCCAGTTTCGATTAGTGTCATCATGATGTATCTTTTCCCATTCGTCTGCTTTTAACCTGTTTGTGTCTGTATATTTAGAATGTTTCTTGTAAGGCCGCGTGCAGCTGAGGCTTGACTTTTAATGCACTTTGACATTCCTTATCTTTTTTTTTTCTGGCCGTGCTAGGTCTCTGTTGCTGTGCTCGGGCTCTCTCTCGTTGCTGCGAGGAGGGGCTGCTCTAGTTGGGGTGCAGAGGCTTTTGTTGCAGAGCAAGGGCTCCCGGGCATGTGGTGCGTAGGCTTAGCTGTCCCTCAGCGTGTGGGATCTTCCCACCAGGGATCAAACCCATGTCCTCTGCATTGGCAGGCAGATTCTTCACCACTGGACCATCGGGGAAGTTCTCCCTGTCTTTTAATTGGGGTGTTTAGACCATTTTCATTTAGTGTCGTTGTTGTTATATCAGGCTAAATTTAAATCTCACAGCTTGCTTCTTGTTTTTTTAGTGGTTGATTTAGGGCTAATGGTGTACATTATTAGGTTATCACAGTCTGCTTTCAAATATTATTATTAAACCACCAGATAGGATGTAAGAGCTTTACAGTCGTGTGCCTTCATTTCTCCCCTCCAGTCTTTATACTGTTGTTGGCATGTTTGTTACATCTAGACAGACTGTACATCTCACACTATGCTGTTAATACTTTTCTTCAGATAGTTAATTGTCTTTTGAAGACAGTTAAATAATCAGAAAAAGATCTTATGTACTTATACAGAGTACCATTCCTGGCATTCTTTGTTTGTTTAGATTAGTATTTCCTTCTGGTATTTTCCTTCTGCCTGAAGGATTTCCTTTAACAGTTCTTGTAGTGTAGGTTTGCAGGTGATTAATTCTTTCAGATTCTGTATATCTCATTGTTGTTCCGTCAGTAAGTCCCGTCTGATTCTTTATGACTCCATGGACTGCAGCACCCAGGCTTCCCTGTTGTTCACTATCTCCTGGAGTTTGCTCAGACACATGTCCATTCTGTTGGTGATGCCATCCAACCATCTCATCCTCTGTCGTCCCCTTCTCCTGCCCTCAATCTTTCCCAGCATCAGGTAGCCAAAGTATTAGAGCTTCAGCATCAGTACTTCCAATGAATATTCAGGATTGATATCCTTTAAAATTAATTGGTTTGATTTCCTTGGTGTCCAAGGGACTCTCAAGAGTATTCTCCAGCACCACAGTTCAAAAGCATCGATTCTTTAGCACTCTGCTTTTTCTTTATGGTCCAGCTCTCACATCTGTACATGACTACTAGAAAAACCATAGCTTTGATGGTGTGGACCTTTGTCAGCAAAGTGATATCTCTGCTTTTTAATACACTGTCTAGGTTGGTCATAGCTTTTCTTCCAAGGAGCAACCATCTTTTAATTTCATGGCTGCAATCACCATCTGCATTGATTTTGGAGCCCCTGTTTCTGCTTTTGCCCCATCTATTTCCAATGAAGTGATAGGACCAGATGTCATGGTCATAGTTTTTTGAATGTTGAGTTTTAAGCCAACTTTTTCACTCTTCTCTTTCACCTTCATCAAGAGGCTCTTTAGTTCCTCTTCACTTTCTGCCACAGGGGTGGTATCGTCTGTATATCTGAGGTTATTGATATTTCTCCCAGCATCTTGGTTCCTGCTTGTGATTCATCCAGCCCAGCATTTCTCATGATGTACTCTACATAGGTGTTAAATAAGCAAGGTGACAATATACAGCCTTCCTGTCCTCCCTTCCCAATTTTGAGCCAGTCCATTGTTCAATGTCTGGTTCTAACTGTTGCTTCTTGACCTGGATACAGGTTTCTTAGAAAGCAGGTCAGGTGGTCAGGTATTCCCATCTCTTTAAGAATTTTCCAGAGTTTATTGTGATCCACACAGTCAAAGGCTTTAGAGTAGTCAGTGAGGCAGATGTTTATCTGGAATTCTTTTGCTTTTTCTATGATCCAATGGTTGCTGACAGTTTGATCTGTTTCCTGTGCCTTTTCTAAATCTGGCTTGTACATTTGGAATTTCTCGGTTCACCCACTGTTGAAGCCTAGCTTGAAGGATTTTGAGCGTTACTTTGCTAGCATGTGAAATGAGCACAATTGTATGGTAGTTTGAACATTCTTTGGCATTGCCTTTCTTTGGGATTGGAATGAAAACTGGCCTTTTCTGGTCCTGTGGCCACTGCTGAGTTTTCCAAATTTGCTGGCACATTGAGTACAGCACTTGAACAGCATCATCTTAGGATTTGAAATAGCTAATCTGAAATTCTATCTCCTCCACTAGCTTTGTTGGTAGTGATGCTTCCTAAGGCCCGCTTGACTTCACACTCCAGGATGTCTGGCTCTCAGTGAATGACCACACCACCGTGGTTATCCGGGCTGTTAAGATCTTTTTTGTGTAGTTCTTCTGTGTATTCTTACCACCTCTTCTTAATATCTTCTGCTTCTCTTAGATCTTTCCCATTTCTGTCCTTTATTGTGCCCATCTTTGCATGAAATGTTCCCTTGGTATCTCATTTTCTTGAAGAGATCACTAGTGTTTCTCATTCTATTGTTTTCCTCAATTTCTTTGCGTTGTTCACTTAAGAAGGCTTTCTTAACTCTCCTTGCTCTTCTCTGGAACTCTGGATCTCTGGAATTCAGATGGGTATATCTTTCCCTTTCTCCTTCTCCTTTCACTTTTCTTCTTTCCTCAGCTATTTGTAAGGCCTCCTCGTACAACCATTTTGCCTTCTTGCATTTCTTTTTCTGTGGGATGGTTTTGGTTTGACCTCCTATACAGTGTTATAAACCTCCTTCCGTAGTTCTTCAGGCACTCTACCAGATCTAATCCCTTGAATCTATTTGTCACCTCCACTTTATAATCATACGGGATTTGATTTAGGTCATACCTGAGTGGTCTAGTGGTTTTGCCTACTTTCTTCAGTTTAAGTCTGAATTTTGCAATAAGGAGCTGATGATCTGAGTCACAGTCAGCTCCAGGTCTTGTTTTTACTGACTGTATAGAGCTTCTCCGTCTTCAACTGTAAAGAATAAAATCAGTCTGATTTCGGTATTGACCATGTGAAAACTCTTGGGCTCACTTGCAGAGGGATTTGTAGGGCTTACTCATGTTTTTTTCTGTTTCATAGGCATCACTGTCCTTTGCTGCCCAGTGCCCAAATGTTCTGAAAACCGTTGTTTCATGTATTTTATCTGTTTTGTTGTTATGTTTCAGGCAGGAGGGTAAATCTGGCCCTTGTTGTCTCACCTTGGAAGCCAAAATTCTAGCCAAGAATTAGAGAAAATAAATAAAATTACAGGGGTGAGACTTTTCAGATTTGGCAAATAGCAGACATGTGTCAAGGAGAGGGAGATGTACTTTTGCCCAGAAGCTGGGATTTCTTAAATACCTGAAAATGCCTCTTGTACAAACAAGTGATTAATTAGCAAGTAAAAAATACTTTTGGAAGCTTCTGTTAGGGCATATTAAACCCGAAATGGTGATGTTCATCTCTGAGGATTTTCCTTTGATTCCTGGTCCAAGCCTTCATGCTTCAGTGGTTTTGAGTCAGGTGGCCTGGTCATGAGTGGGGCCAGAGCTGGCATGGCAGAAACAGCAGAAGGGGTGAAATGGCTTCTAGAGGGAACTGCCAGGAAGAGGCCAGGTTGGAGTTGAAGAAAATGTTTTTTAAAAGTTGCAGCATACCTCCCCCCAAACTTTATGAACTGAAGCGCTTTTTAATTCTTCTGCTGGGGAGTCTGTCCTGTTCACAAGGCAGCTAAGTATAGTAGGGAGCCCGACCCCGCAAGTTAGGTTACTGGTTGATTAGAGTCTTGTGACCCGGAGGTTCTTTTCTATACTGTGTAAAAGTCAACTGGTTTCTTTTGTCTGGCAGCTTTGAGCAGACAGCACCCTGTATCTCTTTGCTTACACAGGATATGAGTCAGTAAAGAAAAGAAAGTGAGGTACAGTGCATCTTAGTCTTCTCAGGCTGCCCTGATGACAAAATGCTGTAGACTAGGTGGCTTGAACAACAGAAATTTATTTTCTCACAGTTCTGGAGGCTGGAAAGCCCCAGGATCACAGTTGCAGCAGGGTCTGGTTTCTGATGAGAGTTCTCTTTCCAGCTTGCAGACAGCCACCTGCCTGTGTGTCCTCACGGGGCCTTTCTTTAATGGATGTAGTGGGGAAAGAGCAATCTCTCTCTCTCCCCCTTTTCTTCTAAGGCCACCAGTCCGACTGAATTAGAAACCCACCCATATGACCTCATTTACCTCCTGAAAACCCTTCCCAGCATCATCACATTGACCGTTAGACTTGGACATGGCAACCAGGGGGGCGGGGGCGGGGTGGGGAACAGACCTTCAGCCCCTAGGGGAGTGTGTGGGACTCAGCAGCAGCATGAGTGCCTGGGTAACAGGCGGATGCTTGACGAGGGTCTTTTGTCAGCCTCTCATTTCTGGCTACATTGTGTCCCTACCCTCCAGGCCTTCACCCTGGTAGTAGCTCTTCCAGTCCATACCTCCAAACCAAAAGCTTTCAGAATTGGATTTGGAGTCCAGTGTTCTCTGCTGAAACAAATGAAAGCGCTGGATGTGCCTTACTGAACAATTTCACGGGAAAGGGGCAGACCTCCTGATAGACTCCATGTTGCTTCTCCAGGTTCTTCTTTGTGGCCCGGTTGGTCCAAAGCTGCATGAGCTTCTTGATGACAATGTATTTGTCCCACCAGAGTCATTGCAGGAAGTGGATGAGTTCCACCTCATTTTAGAGTATCAAGCAGGTAAGAGGAAATGCGTAAGTAATGGCGGAAGCCTGGTCAGAAGGCTCTGTGTTGTCAGGTGGGGGTGTGACTGTGCTAGAAATGTTTCTTTGTAAATTGGCAGGGCCCTATTGTCCTACCACAGGTTTCCTGGTCCCTGGTCCTATTGAGCTGATACAGGCCCTTGTCTCAAGGGAGAGTAATGGAGAGTATTACAACAGTGAATAAAGCTCCCAGGTCTTCAAGTATGATTGATCTGAACCCAAGAGAAATCAGGCTGTAGGAGAGCAGGCACCTTAAATGAAAATGTGTGAAGCACATGTATATAAAATTTTCCTTCATTACAAAGAAAAGAGAAGGGCAGGTAACATCTCTAAGCTCTGTGCCGGATTCTGCCCTTGGCCTTGCTGGCCAGCTGTTCCAGGCCTCTGGCAAACTTCCTTTGAAGGATTTTCCTTTCCTTTGGGTGCATTAGTGAAATGTTTTCTATTTAACAACACACTATTTCCCGTTATATAATATTGCAAGATTTATAACTCCAAATTCACCCCATCATACCCTACCCCAACTAGATTTTATGTGTTACACAGAACACAGATCTGATTTCTGAGAGATCCTAAATACCTGAATGTATTTTGATTGCTTATCTGAGTCCATATATTTGCTGGTGTGTCTTTCCTGTGCATAGAACTCTTGAATTTCCAATTCATCACATCATTAACTCAAGGTAAAGATTTAAGCATCTAAATAGACTAATTGGTACCTTAAAGCAGGACTTAGTTAATAAGCATTAGCGAAGTGCTTCCAAGTCTGATGCTTAAGAAACCCTTACCTACTAGAGTAATTGACTTTAAGATATAAAAATCACGCCTTCGTCCAAGTACAAAAAGAGAATTGTTTCTGTTTCTCTTTTGGATGCTTACTAGAATTGAGGGGGTTAGGAAAGGCAGGGTCTGAAAATTAGAGCCAGAATGTTGGAATGGGCAGTTCCCATTTGCACAGTTTTTGAGTTTCTCTCAGTTTTCACAGGAAAGCAGAGTAATGGCTTTTAGTGCCTGAAGGTAGTGGTGAGCAGTGAACCGCTTCGGTGAAAGGCATGAGTCAGTCTGTTGACCGGAAGGGTCTAGAATGGCTGAAGGTGTGCCTTTGGGGTGCTACTGCCGCTGCTGCTAGTTCCATATCCATCTCATCGGTGCTCCGTTCAGAACCTGTGGTCCCTGTTCCAGTCATCTTCCCTGGTGATGGCAGAGTGGAGAGAACTAGCACCAAGCCTTTGGTGCCTTTGACAGCTGTGCCTTGTATGTGGTAAAGAAGACAGCATAGCTTATCTTGAGAAGAGATTGCCTCCATCCTTGGGTTTACAAGCTTCCCACTTTAGTTTTTCTTTTCCATGCCTTATTTCTTAGTACTAAGCAGTGGCATTCCAGTCAGCTCAATGGGAAGTTATATTTTCATCAGCCTCTGGAGGAAACCTAGTCTGGTGGCAGCAGCCCTCAGGTCAGCTCTCGTAACATAAATCCATCCCCAGCATCTCTCTAACCTAGATGGGTAAATTCCCAGAGGGGATTTGTCAACATTTTTTCCTTCTCTCCTACCAGACCTCCTCAGAGAAGCCTATTTTCAGGCTTGTGGCCAGTGAGTCACTGCATAGGTTTTGCTGACTTACTGGCTGAAGGGCAGGATCATAAACTGAAAGAAGAGATCACTTAAGGAAATAAATTCAAAACTTAGAAAAGAGACACAGGCTCACCCTGTCTGCGTTTCAGTCATTTTGCTTCTCGGGCCACTCCATCAATCCTGTGGAAACTGGCAGCGGTCAGCTCTCCACATCCCTCCTTGTCTTTGCCTTGCGGAAGCATGTTTATTTTGCCTCCCTCTCCTTTTTGCTGAGGATATTAGTTTGTTTTGAATGCTGTGTGGCTCCTCTTTCCTAGGTTAAGTTAGATCGTACTTCTGCATAGTTTCGCTCTGAGTAGCAGTTCCAGGTCTTGTCCTGAGGAGAATACCTGGGTTGCATGTTTTTACCATTGTACGGAATCTTGTTGGTTGGGCAAGTGTTGGTTTAGCGTGCATACCCCACATCGTTTGTGTCATGGGCACCTGCGTCATTGATCTGTCCTCTTCCTCACTTGTTCCTTTGCTGATTCCGTCTCGTGGCTAAATGCCAGGTATGGTGTGAGGCAGTAGAAGTGTGTTGGTAAAAGAAGACACAGGCCCTATCCTCAGCCCACACATCACTACAGGAGGTGGACTCTTGAATAAATAAATGATTGCACAGTCGCGTGCCAAGTCCTCTAACACAGCAGTGGCCTAGGGAAGAAGGTACCAGAATTGTGTCTGCTTGGAGGTTGACAGTTTAGTGAGGCCCCCCTGCATTGGGTCTTCAGAGATGAAGCAGAGGGGGAAGCTGCCATCAGCTCTGTGGATCACCATGGGGCATTTTCTTTGGACAAATAATAAGATGTGGGTTAGGAGTTGAAAGGAATGTGGTGTTTTAACAAATACAACCATTACATCAGGTTTTAGGAAATTGGTAATGTTTTCTTTCCTGCTTTCATAGATTTTTGTACACATGTCCCACATATAAAATGTTTTTCAGAGGAATGGATTCAGTAAAGCTGAACTCAGAGCAAGGGGAGGGTGGCTGCCACCCGCCACCCCCCCCCCAAAAAAAACAAGGGGCCCAGTAGAGGAAGGAAGGAAATGGGGCACTGACCCAGGGGACAGATCAGCCTGCAGCATGCAGATCCTCCTCCAGGGTTAGTCTGCCTTGGGGAAAAACTTTCTGAAGGAAGAGCCAGTAAATGATGAAACCAGTGAAAAACTAGGTTTCATCATATGGACTTCAATTTTGTAAATGGGGCAGATGCTTCACATGGAAGGAAAGTGGTGTAAACCCGGGTCATAAATCATGCCAGTTTCTGGCAGCACCCCAGGCTGGGGGTGACTGCTTCCCCCTGGTGCTCAGGGGGACCTGGCCTCTTAAGGAATTGCCTAGGCAGCCCTTAGGCTGAGTTTTGAGATTTTCAAGACTTTAAGGAGAGGAGTGTGGGATCTGCATGGTATGGCGCAGAATGGGCTTGGAAAAACCTCTTGCCCCCACACTGCCCCCTCCCTTAGAACTTAGGCACTAGCACCCTCCCCTCGAGTGCTTGGCAGCTGTGTGTATTGGCAGGGGGCAGGGGGCGGTGTCTTAACTGGTACTTCACCACCTAACTGCACATCAGGATCTACAGGGGGGCTGCCAGCTACACATCAACCATTTAGGGAGGAAGTAACGTGTGAACAGAGTCTTTATTCCTTATTACGGTCATTACTCCAGAGCAGCTTGCTCACAGGAGGCTAGAGCAGCCATTTACTCTGAGCTTTCAGATCAAATGCCCAGAAATCACCAGTGGGCAGCAAGGCTGGGGAGGGGGGGTGGTCAGCCTGGCTCCTGGAATTCCAGCCTCCTTAGGTCCCAATGACATCACAGATGCTAGGGCGCTCCTGAGAGGTGGCAGTTGCTTCAGGAAAGGCAGCCTGCCTGCATGCAGGGCCCACACGGTATACTGCACACTGGTGTTTGGGAGCCATGATCTGTGTGGGGAGGGACACGGGCTCCTGGGTGTGAGAACTGAGGGGACAGGAGACCTTTGCCAAGACGCGAGGGGTGTGACCCTGCCAGGCCTTGACAAAGGCACATAGCACTAGCACCCATACTGTATTTTTGAGGGGTTGGGGTTTCTGGTTCATTGCTGACCACCGTCCTGGCCGCAGCCGTGCTCCCCTTAGGCTATGGCAGCTGGGATTCACTCAGCCAGAAGCCCGCCTGCCCCGAGCCAAGGCTCCAGTGAGGCCCTGCCTTCCCCACACATCTCGGAGACTCAAAGCCTCTTCCTTTTCTTCCCGTTGTGTTGACTGGGCTTTTCTAGGGGAGGAGTGGGACCAGTTAAAAGCTCCCCATGCCAACCGGTTCATCTTCTCCCACGACCTCTCCAACGGGGCCATGAATATGCTGGAGGTCTTTGTGTCTAGCCTGGAGGAGTTTCAGCCAGACCTGGTGGTCCTCTCTGGATTGCACATGATGGAGGGACACAGCAAGGAGTTCCAGAGGAAGAGGCTCTTGGAGGTAACGGTGGCACTGTCACAGCTGCGCAGATCGCAGCTCCTGTTCTCCTTCGGACTCCCGCCTCTCCCGGCCTCTGCAGCCTGCACTGCCTTGCCCTAGGCCCCAGCCTCCCGGGATGGGTCGTGGTAGCCAAGAAGCCTGCCTCCCACTGCAGCGAGGCGCCTCACGGTGTTCTTTCAGGCACAGGCGGCAGCTTGAGTAGGACAGGTCAGAACATCATCTTGCCTGAGCCTCTGCTTCCTGTGCTGAACCAAACATGGCTGCAGTGTTTGTGGTCTGTGTCCTTCACGTTTTCCGTATCATCTCATTCACATCAGCTGTGTTGCAGAGTCACACAGCAGTTGAAGCCGATTGCTCAGTTTAGGTCACTAGGAAGAAGCTGGCTGTGTGAACGTTTAGGGGGGATTCCTGATGCGTTGCGAGTCCTTAACCCCAGCGCCTCCCAGCAGAACCTAGTTGTCCCTGTTGGGCAAAGCCTCCCTTGTCCACAGAGACTGTGGTCACCCACATAGCCAGGAGCTCTCATGAGGATGCACTGCCTCTTGGACCCATCCTTCCCTCTTGCCTGACTCCTTGTTTCTGATGGCAGTGGTCCCCTCTTGTCTCTGCAGGTCGTGACCTCCATTTCTGACATCCCTGCGGGTGTCCCGGTTCACCTGGAGCTGGCCAGCATGACCAACAAGGAGCTCATGAGCAGCATCGTGCACCAGGTAACCCACCGGCCATGCTCAGGGCTCAGGGCGCCGTGGGTGTCATCTCACCCAGACCTGGTCCACGAGCTCCAAGTCAGGAGCCAGGACTGCCCTGGAGCAGCATCTCCTGCTGAGTTAGGAAGGCCTCAGAGTTACTGATGGGTTCATTTAGTTCAGTTTAGCCAGCTAAACTAAAAAGGCATGTCTGACTCTCTGCTGCCCCATGGACTGCAGCATACCAGGCTTCCCTGTCCATCACCAACTCCCAGAACTTACTCAAACTCATGTCCGAGTCAGTGATGCCATCCAACCATCTCATCCTATGTCGTCCCCTTCTCCTCCTGCCTTCNTCTTGACCTGCATACAGATTTCTCAGGAGGCAGGTCAGGTGGTCTGGTATTCCCATCTCGTTAAGAATTTTCCAGTTTGTTGTGATCCACACAGTCTAAGGCTTTGGTATAGTCAATAAAGCAAACGTAGATGTTTTTCTGGAACTCTCTTGCTGTTTCTATGATCCAGTGAATGTTAGAAGTTTGATCTCTTGTTCATCTGCCTTTTCTAAATCCAGCTTGAAAATCTGGAAGTTCATAGTTCACATACTGTTGGAAGTTCACAGTTCACACTTGAAGCCTGACTTGGAGAATTTTGAGCATTTGCTAGCATGTGAGATGAGTGCAATTGTGCAGTAGTTTGAGCATTCTTTGGCATTGCCTTTCTTTGGGATTGGAATGAAAACTGACCTTTTCCAGTCCTGTGGCCACTGCTGAGTTTTCCAAATTTGCTGGCATATTGAGTGCAGCACTTTCACAGCATTATCTTTTAGGATTTGAAATAGCTCAACTGGAATTCCATCACCTCCACTAGCTTTGTGCATAGTGATGCTCCCTAAGGCCCACTTGACTTCACATTCCAGGATGTCTGGCTCTAGGTGAGTGATCACACCATCATGTTTATCTGGGTCCTTAACATCTTTTTTGTACAGTTCTTCTGTATATTCTTGCCACCTCTTCTTAATATCTTCTGCTTCTGTTAGGTCCATACTGTTTCTGTCCTTTATTGTGCCCACCTTTGCATGAAATGTTCCTTTGGTATTTCGAATTTTCTTGAAGAGATCTCTAGTCTTTCCCGTTCTATTGTTTTCCTCTATTTCTTTGCATTGATTACTTAAGAAGGTTTTCTTATCTCTCCTTGCTATTCTTTGGAACTCTGTCTTCAGATGGATATACCTTTCCTTTTCTTTGCCTTTTGCTTCTCTTCTTTTCACAGCTATTTGTAAGGCCTCCTCAGACAACCATTTTGCCTTTCTGCATTTCTTTTTCTTGGGAGTGGTTTTGATCACAGCCTCCTGTACAATGTCATGAACCTCTCTGTCCATAGTTCTTCAGGCACTCTATCAGATCTAATCCTTTCAATCTATTTGTCACTTCCACTGTATAATCATAAGGAATTTGATTTAGGTCACACCTGAATGGTCTGGTGGTTTTGCCTACTTTCTTCATTTTAAGTCTGAATTTTGCAATTAGTTGATGATCTAAGCCATAGTCAGCTCCCGGTCTTGTTTTTGCCGACTGTTTAGAGCTTCTCCACCTTTGACTGCAAAAAATATAATCAGTCTGATTTTGGCGGAGTTACTGATGTGTTTCACGGGCGTGTTACCAGTGGGTTCATAGTGTGTCCTTTTCCTTCCAGCATGTGGAGGTTGGAAGTGAATGTCTTTTGCAGTGGAACCCAAAGGAGAAAACCAAAAACCCAACCCCAGTGCTTTCAGCTGAACTTCAGGAAGCTCAGAGAAGGGAAATTTGGGGGACGCTACACTCCCTCCCCATCAGGCCCCTAGGTGTTCAGCCTTTGGACAGTAACAATGATCAGATAAGTCCAAGAGTGGGATGTTTGAGAGGACAGATTTTGAAAACCAGGATTGGAATGCCAGCTTTGCCTGCCACTCTCTAGCTCTGTGAACTTAGGCAGGTTAGTTAACCTCTTGTTTTTTAACATCTTTCATGGGTAACATATGGTTCAAAATTCACAAAGTATTACAAGATGCACAATGAAATCTCCCTTCCTCCTGCCCTTGTACCCACTGTTGGTAACCTCCTTAAGAGTTTTGTCTCATCCCTCCAGATTCATTGTGTGCATATATAAGCAAATAGGGAATACAGCCTTATTATTTCATCCTTCTTTATCCCCAAAGATAGCATAGCACACTGCATAGACTGTTGTACACGTTGCTTTTTTCCACTGGATGCATTTTGGAGATGTTTTCTCTGTCATTACGTGAAGGGTCATCAGTCTCCCTACTGCCACGTGGGTAGAAGCAGCGGTGGTGCACACAGGGTCTTTAATGCCAGCCAGAGCCGAGTGTTGGGCTCACTGCCCTTTTCTGCTCCTACAGTGCTGCACTGAATAACCTTTTACATGAGTTTAATTTGACCCATGACCAGGTACATGTGGATGATACATTCTCAGAAGTTGAACTGCTGGATTGGGGCATAAAAAGCATTTGTCAGTTTGATCCTGCAAAGTTGGCATTCATGAGCACAGCACAGGTTTACTTCTACTAGAATTCTTTACAATGTTTTTTTCCTCATCTTTGCCGCTGAAACGTGATTTTTAAATGTGCTTTCTTACCAGTCTGACATGTGAAAGGTGCTTAGGGCAGTTTTAGGCTCACAGCAGAAGTGAGCAGGATGTAGGTTCCCACATAGCTCTTGCATCTCCCACCCCCAGCCACAGCCTCCCCCGTCCACAGATGAGACATTTGTCACAGTCAGTGAACCAACACTAAGTCGTCGTCATGCAGAGTCCATCGTTTATATTAGGGTTCACGCCTGGTGCTTTTCAATATGATTTTTATTCATGTATTTCTCTTCTCGAGGTTATTTTTTCACTTCTTTAAAAAGCCATGTTTGTTTCATTTTCTGCATTGCTATCTACCTAATCTTTCTAAGCCTCTGTCCCCTTATCTGTAAGGTGGAGGCAACCCCTCCTTCTTTCAGAGTGTTACAGCAAGAAGTGAGTGAAATAGAGCCGTTAGCTTGGCATCTGACATAGACCATGCGGCAAATGGAAGTGCTATTACATTAGCGCCCCTGGTTTTTATATAAACACACACAGGGCTCCTCTCTCTGCACAGACGTTCACTTTCTGCAGGTCCCTGCTCTGAGGAAGGAAGTGCTAAGTAAGACAGACAGTGAGGTGGACCTCGTGCTTCCCCTCAAGGTAGAAGAGCTGGCTCCTGTTTGGTGCCATTTTCCACAGTGTTATTATCGTGTAACGGTTTTCCTAACCCACACCTGCTCAAAAAACTTAGATCTGACACGGGGCACTCTCCTTGCAACCCTGGCCGGGGGGTGGGCTCTTCTCCACTGTGCGGGTGTAACAGCTGCTGGTGTTCGGGAGCTGGGTCGGGCCCCGTGTGGTGAGAGGCTCTGCTGCCCGTGCCAGAGCAGAGGCTGGGCACACTGCTTTGTCCTCAGCGTGTACCCGGAGGCTGGCTCTAATACAGCATCACTGCGCCTTCCCCGTGACTGTGCTTGATGCTGCGAGTGGGGATAGAGTTGTGAGAGCCAGGACAGTGACCTTGGTCCGTCACTTGGTGACCTCAGGGGCAGGGAGTCCTCTCGGAAGGAAGAAAGATGGCCCTGCCTTCTGTCACTGGCCACGTCCTAGGAGAGTTAGGAGCTAGGTGTCCATCAGAAAGAGACCCCCATTTTGTTTCTGTTAGCAGGTCTTTCCTGCCGTGACTTCCCTGGGGCTGAATGAACAGGAGCTGTTATTTCTCAGCCAGTCGGCATCTGGACCTCACTCTTCTCTTTCTTCCTGGAATGGTGTTCCTGACGTGGGCGTGGTCAGCGACATCCTCTTTTGGATCTTGAAGGAACACGGGAAAAGTGAAAGCAGAGCCTCAGACCTCAGCAGGATCCATTTCCACACGCTGGCCTACCACATCTTGGCGACTGTGGATGGACACTGGGCCAACCAGCTGGCAGCCGTGGCTGCAGGAGCCCGCGTGGCCGGGACACAGGCCTGCGCAACGGAAACCATAGACATGCGCCGAGTGTCTCTGAAGGCACCCCACGAGTTCATGACCTCCCGTTTGGAGGCTGGCTCCAGGGTTGTGTTAAACCCAAGTGAGCCAGTGGTCGAATGGCACAGGGAGGGCGTGTCCTTCCACTTCACACCTGTGTTGGTGTGTAAAGATCCTGTTCGAACTGTGGGCCTCGGAGATGCCATCTCCGCCGAAGGACTCTTCTATTCAGAAGTACACCCTCACTCATAGGAAGGTTGTTGGGGTCATTTTTCTGATGAAGGAAAACTAGCCAACCTAAAAATGACAGGAATTCAGTGGTCTGGGAAATAGGATTGAGAGTGTCAAAAACCATTTCTGTTGATCGAACTGAAAGACAGCCAAAGAAACAACAGCAGATTAAACTGTACCAGATACATTCCAGCCTTTTGACAATTACACAGAAACATTTCAGGTTTTAATCGCAATTCAGCTATCTACTAACAAGACTGGATTTTTGTTCTCGTTGTTTATTTTTATGTTGTGTGTTACAGGGGTAAAAACTTGGTTCTCCAACCCGCTTTTCAGGTATTTTAGGCCAGACTCCTTTGCCCATAAGAGCAGGTCGGTTGGAGAAAGCACTCCCTTCTTGCCCACCTCAGATGCGCATGCTCACTCACCCGTCCTCCCTGTCTCTGAAAGCCCAGTGTGAGTTCTTGCATCCTCTCAGCTCAGCTCAGCGCCCATGACAGGATCATAATTTCCATTCAGTGTTATAATGACAATATTCAGTGAGTACGCCTTCTCAGTTTTCTCCTCCCAAATTAAGACAGAGCCACAGGTAAGGACAAAATAGCCCTCCTGTGCTTCAGAGACACAGCAGAGGCTGGGTGCCTCATGGAGCCCTTGAGGGAGCCAGTCACTGCAGTTAGGGGCCTGGCTGTCCTACAGGGTGGCGCTGTGAGCTGAAGGGCTGCACCTTCCTGCCTTGGCTCCTTAACTGTAGGCTGGCTGGTCAGAGGCTGCTGTGCCTGGGCCCACCCTCACTGCCCAGCTCTGGACATGCTTTCTATAGCGGAAGACTGATCTGTGTTCATTCTGATCCTTGAAGGAATTTTACAACTGGAATCTGCTTCTGGGTGTATAACAGATCATGTATGTTTTACATTGATACATCACATCTGTTAAAGAGTTCAACCTCCTAAGAGCCCCAGGATCATAAATAAATTTGTCATATTATGTATTTATTTTTATAAATCAAGGAGACTTCAGCGTGCTTTTAAATATATTAAAAACAACTTACATTTCAGGAATCCTAAGTCTGTGATTGATTTCATTTCTGCCATGATTCTGGAGCCAGATAAAATGTAAATCATTTTGATCTTGACTTGTGACTTACACGTTCCTCTGCTGTTGAGGTGTTTGATTATCTTGTCTTCCCCATCACATTAAGTCTGAGCTATAGGTCTATCCTTTGGTTTAAAGTGACATGATACTAGTCTCAAGCAGTCAAGCCAATATGACTCAGTAATTTGAAAATGTGTGTGAAGAGCCTCCTCGATTTGTTCAGGGGGCAGTGGGGACACGGGTCAACTGGTGGCAGGCCTTCTTGGGTCAGGGGTAATCATTCACACTGGGCTCACAGCAGCAGCTTCTGGAATCTCGAAGCCACCTCACGTTCTCAATTTTTGACCTTCCTGCCTGGTTTGGCTGAGAAGGAACAGCTTGATTACTCCTTTGAAGACAACTTAAGGCTAGAGAACTATGCAGGCTGAAATTCAAAGCCAAGCTAGTTTATTAAGGAAATCTCTGGCTGCTACCTCATCAGTCTGCCTCAAAGCTCAATTAAAAATAATTCAACAATCTTCTGTTTTTATTAGAAAAGCTTCAGTGAGAAAAAATTTCTGTTTTCCCAAGAAAAGTCAGAATAACTCATCTATGTTCTAACCCTAAGTGGCAATGTTCGTGTGACCTTTTTCTTACAGGCAGCCCTTGTCCTTAAGTACATTCTCAACAAGTTCTCCAGTTCTCACTGGTGATGTCAAGGAAGATGATCAGGAGGTGTGGACAGCGGTGTTTTTCAAAAGGTGGGTTTTGAACTATTAATCATCACTAAATCAACTTGGTTATAAAATATCAAAATGCATCATACATTATAGGAAAATTATTTTAGTATTGTTTATAAAACTATATCCTTGAGTGTGTGTATGTAGGTATGAATGTACATGCATCCCTCTGTGAACGTCCCACCTTTCTACAAGCACATTAAGCTTTGGGGGGAAGATTAACTGGGCTCTGTCACCGAGGATGGACAGATGATACAGAAGTGAGTTGGAAGGACTGGAGAAACTGAAGAGATGGAGCTGCTAGCCCCATGGCTTTGATCTGTATTTTACAAAGGTTTCCATGTATGATTTTATATGAAGAATTGTTTGAAAATCCCCTGGACTAGAAAGGATGCCTGGTGAAAAAAGATCCTTCCTAAAAAAACTTCTAACACTCACTCTTGCATTCCCTTAAAACTGATTTAGTGTTCAGGGAAAAGCTGCAGCACAGAACACTGTTAGGAGACATAAAAATTCAACCAAAATCAGTAATATTTACTGTGCACATTCAGTTTCTATGCTCTTACTCTGTCAAGTTTGAGTGGGGTGATTATTCATCAGCAGAAATCTGAATTCTCCGCAGGGCTTGAGATGGCAAGTGTCATATGATGTTGGTACCTTTCCTAAGCCTCATCTTTCCTCATCTGTAAAGACTTATAATGGTCCTTACCTCATAGTGTTTTTAATTAAAAAGGAATGCCAAGCAAAATATTAGCACAGTATGTGGCACGTATTTAAAAGTTGGGTAGCTGTCAGTTACAACAGAACAGGCCATTTGCTGGGTCTCCTTAGAAATAATTGAAAATCACTGAAACGCTACCACAGTGATCATTTAACATTTTTTGATCTTTTTTTAGGTAAAGATTTTCATTCAAACAATGAAACTATAGAAATTTCAAGTCCACTTGGTAAGTTCTGGGGAAGCTATATACGTATCTAACCTGAGTGCCTGTCCAGATACACAACGTTTCCATCACCCACATAGTTCCCTCAGGCCACTTCCAGGTTAGCCTCAGCCCTGACCCCCGAAGCACACATCATAATCTTACCATAAATTGTTTTGTCTGTTCTGGAACTTCTTAGAAATGGAAACACAATATTTAGTCCTTTTGTATAAGGCTCTCTCTCTCTTTTTTTTAATGTTTTCTGACTTTGATTTTTTAACTTTTATTGAAGAAGAGTTGATTTACAATGTTGTGTTAGTTCCAGGTGTATAGCAAACTGATTGTTACACGTGTGTATAAATATGTAGTTTTTGGGTTTTTTTTAACATTCTCTTCCATTATAGGTTATTACAAGAGACTGAGTATAGTAACCTGGGCCGTATAGTAGGTCCTTGTTGGTGATTTATTTTATATATAGTAGTATATATATTTTAATCCCAAACTCCCTATTTTATCTTCCCCCCTTTCCCTTTGGTAACCATAATTTTGTTTTCTATGTCTGTGAGTCTCTGTTATGTAAGTAAGTTCATTTGCATCATTTTTTAGATTGCACAATAAGCAACCTATTTGTCTTCCTCCACCTGGCTTATTACTTCACTCAGTATATTACTCTAGGTCCATTCATGTTGCTTCCAATGGCATTATTTCATTCCTTTTATGGCTGAGTAATATTCCTCTGTGTGTATATGTGTGTGTGTGTACATCTTCTTTATCCATTCATCTGTGGATGAACATTTAGGTTGCTTCCATGTCCTGGCTATTTTAAATAGCACTGCAGTGAACACTGGGGTGCATGTATCTTTTCAAATTATATTTTTCTCTGGATATATGTTAGGAGTGGCACTGCAGGATCGTACGGTAAGGAACATCCATCAGTTAAGTTCAGTCACTCAGTTGTGTCCAACTCTTTGCAACCCCATGGACTGCAGCATACCAGGCCTCCCTGTCCATCNTCACATGGACCACAGCCTTGTCTAACTCAATGAAACTATAAGCCATGCCATGTGGGGCCACCCAAGATGGACAGGTCATGGTGGAGAGTTCTGACAAAATGTGGTCCCCTGGAGGAGGGGAATGGCAAACCACTGCAGTATTCTTGCCTTGAGAACCCCGTGAACAGCATGAAAAGGAACCTCCATACAGGTCTCCACAGTGGCTCCACCAATTTGCATTCCCACCAACAGTGTAGAAGGGTTCCTTTTTCTCCACATCCTTACCAGCATTTGTTATTTGTAGACTTTTTGACATTATACCATTCTGACTGGTGTGAGTTGATACCTCATTTTAGTTTTGATTTGCATTTCTCTTAATTAATGTTGAGAATCTTTTCATGTGCCTTTTGGCCATCTGTTCATCTTCTTTGGAGAAATGTCCATTTAGGTCTTCTGCCTATTTTTTTTTTTTTTAATATCGAGCTGTTGGTATATTCCGGAAATTAATCCCTGTTGGTCACATTGTCTGCAAATACTTCTCCCATTATTTGTCTTTTTATGGTTTCCTTTGCTGTGCAAAAGCCATGAAGTTTAATTAGGGCTCATTTATTTTTATTTCCATTACTTTAGAGATAGATCCAAAAAGGTCTTGCTGCAATTTATGTCAAAGAGTGTTCTGCTTATGTTTTCCTCTAGAAATTTTATTCAGTCTTATATATAGGTCTTTAGTCCATTTTGAGTTTTATTTTTGTATAACCATGTTAGAGAAAGTTTTTACCCTTTCACATGTAGCTGTCCAGTTTTCTCTGCACCATTTGAAGAGACTTCTGTCTCCATTGTATATTCTTGCCTCCTCTGTTGATTAATTGGCCATAAGTGCATGGGTTTATTTCTTTGCTTTCTATCCTATTCCATTGACCTAGATTTCTATTTTTGTGCCAGTACCATACAATTTTAATTACCATAGCTGTATAAAGCTCTTCTCATGCAGCATGTTTTTGAGATTATGTTGTATGTAGTTTGTTGCTTTTTATGACTAAATAGTATTGTGAATACAGTGTTTCCATTTGGAGCTTTTATGAGTGTTATCAAGTCTGTGTGGACATTTTTCTTTATCTTGGGTAAAAATCATTTTTACTTTTGAGTAAAAATTCTCCTCCATTGGAGTAGAATTGCCGAGATGGATATAATATCATGGGATGGGTACAGACCTTTCTCCAAAGTGGATGGACCATTTTACACTCCCACCAATGATTGACAGTTCTGTTTGCTTCTTGTTCTTGCCAACATTTGGAGTTGTGTTTAATTTTAGCCATTTTGATGTGTACCTGACGTGTCCCTAGTGGTACTTCATTGTGGTTTTACTTTGCATTTCCCTGATGATAAACAGTGGGCACGTTTTCACGTGCTTACTGGCCATTCATATGTGGCCGGTATAATATGGCCATATACCTTTGTGAGGTATCCAAATTTTTTACCTACTTTTTTTTTTCATTTGAGTTGTGTATACTGTTGTTTGGGTTATTCTTGGGTTGGCCACATCCTACAGGAAAACTCGAACTTTTACACCAACCCAATAGTTTTCATCACTGAGTTTTTTAAAAATATTTTCTGGATACAAGTCCTTTGTCAGATGTATTTTGTGAATCTATTCTTCTACAATATATTCTCAAGCTGTAGATTTTTGTTTTCTTCATGGCATAATGGAAAGTTCTCCCTGTCTTCTAAAAATTTTTTAAGATTGGATTTAATAGAATCCACTGGTGAAATCATCTGAGCCAGGAGTTTGCTTTAAAGGGTAGCTTTTGATTTATAGATTCAATTTCTTTGATAGGCCTCAAGGCTTTACATTTCATCTTGTTTCAGTTTTGGTCTGTTCCATCCAAGTTGCCAGTTTTATTGTCATAAAATTCCTTCTAACATTCCTTTCTCTTTTTTATGTCTTGTAGTCTCTTTATAATGCTATCCCTTCTTCCATTCTTGATATTGGTAATTTGTCTCTTTTTTATCAGTTTAGCTAGGGATTTGTCAACTTTCTGCCATATGCATTTTTTTGTAAAACTTTTGCCTTTTTAGATTTTTCTTTAATAATTCCTGAAATGTGGGATTTATTTTGCTGTGTTTTTAGCTTAAGGTAGAAACCTTTATCAACAATTTCATTTGCTACAATAGAAACATTTACAGCTGTAAGTTTCCTTATAAGTATAGTTCCTAGCTGAACCCTGCAAATTTTGTTTTCATTATTCAAACTATTTTCTAGTTTCTCTTTGATTTCTTCCTTATGAGTTATTCCAAGCATATGTTTAATTTCCAAATATGTTGTTTTTCTGTAATAGATATCTTCCTTTTAATTTCTAATATAATTACACTAGGTATTAAGAACATATTCTGTAAATTTCAGTCTATTGACTTTTGAGACTTATGGCCCAGCATTTGGTCTGTCTTGCTAAATGTACTGTGTCTACTTGCAAAGAATGTATTTTCTGTAGTTACTACTTGTAGTGTTATTTAGGTCAAGCTGGCCAATATATTCTTTTACACTTTTTGTCTATCAAATGCTAAAAGAAAAATTGCTAACATAGGCAAGTATATGGATTTAATTCTGTCAACTTTTACTTAATGTATTGTGAAGTAACGTTAGGTACATACATGTTTATGATTGTTTTTCTACTGATATCATTATGAAATGCCCCTATTTCTGGTAACACCCCTGACTTTGAGCTCTACTTTGTCTAACATTAATATAGTACGAGGTTTTTTTATCATTCTCTGCTTTTTAACTGTTTAGCCCAGTTACATTTTTAAGTCTAGTTACATTTTATTGATATGACTGGATTTATAGTTTGCCATTTGTTTTCTCTTTGTTCCATTTTTTCCCCCTTCTCTACTGTCTTTTGAGCTATGCTTCTGTCAAATGGCTGCTCTAAAGATTGTAATATATACAGTGTTAACTTTTTACAAACTATTTAAAATTAGTAAAATATGAAAATCTTTATAGTTATATATATTAAGCCTCATATATAATGTCATAATTTGTACTTGGAACAGTTATGTATTTTTTAAAAATTAAATCAAGGAAGTATTTTATATTTACCTACTGGTTACTATTTGTTGTCTGTGGGAGGACTGGTCCATTGTGAGCCACTCTACTATCAGTCAATCATTATAATCACACACTCCAGAATTCTACTTTGTTTTGTATTAACATTATTCAGTAAGAAGGGCACTTTTCCCATTGCTAGTTCTTTCTTGCCTCTAATCTGAGCCATCTAAAACCATGTCTGTATCTGTGATTGTGTATGTAGCCTCATTTTTCTAATTGTGATGACATGAGTAACAACCATACTAGAAATCAGAATAGCTCCTTTCTTAACAGAGAAACTAGAAATCCAGAAGTCCCAAGACTGGGCAGATACAAGGTTCTTCCAGAAACATTTTATTGTGATCCCTTATACATTAATAGCAACTTTTCCCAAAGGGATGATACATAATCTTTATTCTGAAAAGGATATATAATGTATTGCTAGCATCTGGTCAGTGGTATCACTGAATGTCTTAACTGAGGAGGTTTTAAGAAGCTCCTCCTTTTTTTTTTTCCCCAGTCCTTGGTGCTAATACCAGACCAGCCCTTTATCTCTTTTCATACTGACATGATCTGGCTCTTCTCTCTGACCTCGCTCAAGAACAAGCTATAGGGGCTTTTTCTGGATTCTTCTGGGCAAGTGCAGCTGAGATACTCAATAGACTGGGCCACAATTTAAAGAGCTTTTTTTTTTTCTTCATCTTCTAATTTCTACTATTAGAACTGGATTATTAATTCAAGATTTGTGTTTCCCTTGGTGGCCAATATACCTACCACACAGCCCAAGGATCACCTCAGCTAAGCCAAGGCTCTGTCATGCCAGCAGAGATCTATCTCAGACTTTTCTTCCACAAAGGGCTCAGTCGACGGGAGGTAAATCCTTTCCACAGCAAACACTGTCACGTGCCCTGCTGGCTCTTGGCACCACATACAGAGCCAAAGCCTTGCTCTCAGTTCTTAAGAGAACTCATCTGGGCCATCTCCTCTTTCCTAGCTCATGGGGCAGCCAGGGGCTGTGAAGGCTTCAGCATCCTGGTGATCATCATCACACGTTCTTGTATGTGCTGCCTGTGTCATGGGACCTTTCCTAATCTGGTAGGTCCTCACCAAAGAAAGCCCAGCTCCGGGGTCATCCTACACCTACTTTTCTCTGGTTTGTGCTGATGCTTCCGCGGGTTGTGCTTCCATAGTGGGCTCTGGCTCCAGAGGAAGGGATGGTGGCTTTGTGAGCTGGGATGTTCCTCCAGCACCTAGTAACAAAACAAACAGCTTGAATTCTCAGTGCCCTGGTTCCAGAAGAAATCAAAATGCAGTTACGATTTTTCTTCTCGAAGTTTATTTTCTGGGATTAGTAGGACTGTGGCATATCTGTGCAGCTGTGAAGGAAGACCATAACTGGATAAAGTCAGTCAGGTGGGCCTTCAGTGACCTTACTAAAAGAAATCATTCATTACCTGTGCCATGCTGACTTGTGATAAGGCAGTGAAAATTAAACTGAGACTCCATAACAAAGGGTACCATAATGGATCTCTAAACCTGCAGATCGTGAACACCCAGTGTCTTGACCATCCAACTAAGCCTGCCAATAGCTGGAAAGTTTTACACAAATGGCCTTAAGAAAACAGGCAAATCCATGGCTGATTCATGTCAATGTATGGCAAAAACCACTACAATATTGTAAAGTAATTAGCCTCCAACTAATAAAATTAATTGGGGAAAAAAAGAAAAAAAATTTTAAAAAGAAAACAAGTGACGGTTTGGACACCCTTGGGCTTTCTTCCCCCTTCTAGGCAGCATTACACTGGACTTGTTATGAGTCTGAAAAGCACAAGCCTCACTCAGAGCTGTACTCTCTTTGCAGGCACACGTGGCTGTTCCTATAGGTCTCCACAGCTGTGTGTAGCTTCCTACCTGAGGGGAGCTTCCCGTATGTGGCTGCTGAAGACATTGCCTGTCCCAGAGCTTGATTAGAGCCCAGAGGCTGCTGGAAACAGGTGGCTTTACTGGTTGAAGCAGTCTGGTGCTTTGATTTGGGATCTTTAACTGGTTTAGTCCAGACCAGTGCCTCCCCGACCTGTAGAGCAGCTCCCAGCTTCTGGGCGACCTCCATCATCTTGTGTCCATGTGGGGAGGAAGAAAAAAAAAGTCACAGGTATGACAAGCAGAGACAGGCCTCATCCTAGGCCTTTAGCAGGCAGACGAGGTTAGATGACATAGTCTCTGCTACCATTTGAGGGAGGAAGTACTGATTGCAAAGAAATGATTCTTAAACAGCAGAGAACACACTGCCTTAAGTGGATGGCATGGAAATTCTTTAAGTTTGGTGCATTAATGGACTAAATTCCTGCCTTTTCTATGTGAGGAGAAGTGGGAGGAAGCTACAAAGAGACACAGATCTCAACTCAAATGAGTTGTATTACCAATAATAGATACAACACAGTAAGCTTAAATTTCCTCTTACTTTTTTCTTTCAGGAAAGTTTTTTCTCAAGCTGGCCTTAATTGAAGAATTCATGCTGCTTGGAACATCAAAGCCAAAACAGGCATAAACATACATTGTATCTAGATTATTTGGGCTTGATTTAAAAGTCTCCTGACAGCTTGCTTAGTGACTCCTGGATTTAAGACTTACCTCCGGATCAAATTCCAGAGAGCTACTATACTTGAGTAGGTTGACTTTCTTCTCCATCTCCTGATACTGGGCCAGGGCATCCCTCTTCTCGCCCTGGTTATACAGCAGCACAGCATAGTTCAGGTTCACTAAAGGGTTACACCTGCACAGACAGACAGGGACTCTATGAAGCTGGGGCTTTGCAACCAATGGTCATTCAGAGATAGATCCTTATCATTATTCAGAAACAAAACCAGCTTAATAGATCTCCATTCCACAGCAGGGTCTCTCAGGGCCAGTGCCAGGTCCTACTGAAGCACGGAGTGCTTGTGCTCAGGAGCCACGTCCTTCCACACACAGACCTGCTGTGCACAGAGGCATGTGGAGAGCAAGCACCTGGGCTGACTCAGGCAACACCAGGGCCCTGGCGCCACCTCACGGCTTTGCAGAATCTAGCCCCCCGACACCATCCTCAGCAGGGCAGCATACTTATCGAGGCGGACTGCTTCTTCATAGGCTCTCTTGGCATTCTCCGTATCCTCCAGATTGGTCAGAGCCACTGCAACAGAGAGAGTGAATGCTATGGCTGAAGAGGCCAGCATGAAAACACAGGAAATGTTACATGTAACTCTTACTGCACCCTCTCAGCTCCTAGCGCCACCATCTACTTAGTCACTCAGCTTGGATTCCTAGTGTCATCTTCAACAGTCCCCTCTCCAGTTAATCCATAGTCAGGTTCCGTGAATTCCTTTTTTTAGTTTCTTTAGTGACACTGCCCTGGCTTTAGTCGTGTCAGGTTTTCCATTCTGTTCCCCGGGGACGCTGTCCACCTGCCTCCATCTACTTGCCACAGTGCTGCCAGGATCTCGCTAACCCAGGATCTCGCTAACAGATCTGAACGCGCACTGTCCTACTCAAGAATCCCCACTGTTCTCCAGCACTCATAACTATGATCTTTAAACTTTTTTTTTTAAAGCAACAGAACACTCTCCCTTTTTTAATCAGTATTTTCTGGGAGCTTGATCTATAAACCAGACAATAACAGAGCTGCTCTGGAAGCCATGCCTACTCCACTTCGCCCACAACCATTCATCTACTTCCTCCAGACACTAGAGGAGGTCCAGGAATACAGTTGGGAAACAACCTCTGCACTCACAGCCCTCCAAACTGACCCCAGACCACCTCTCCTGACTTACCTCGCACTATGCTCTATCTACCACACTATTACCACTACCTGCTATGGGTGCAGCCTGCAGTTTCACGGCTGCATGCCTTTCCTCAGGGGCTTCTCAGCCATTCTATGCCACTGAACTGCAGTTTATTTTTCAAAACTCAGTGTGAAGACCATCTCTACTCTGTTACAGAATTGCTGCTTATGCCCTACAGTGATTTACTTACAACCCTGTATCCCTTTATGACTGGGCTATCTTTGTATTCAGACAGCCCCCAAATAATCACCACTTGATTTACTTATATAGAACCCCACAGTAATGACAAAAAAAAAAAAAACCTGAAGACTATCAGTGAGAACATGGAAACTGCTCTTAAACATGTAGTAAATTTTGTGTAAGGAGAAATATTCCCCAGAAAGAATCGTCAGTAGTTTTGTATTACACTAACAACAATAAAAGACTAATTATATAATCACAGCAAAACCAAGTTAACATTCACTGATTTTCTAATCATGTAATCCTCTCATCAACCGTATGAGATACAGCTATTAATAGTAAGTACTAAAGGCAGGATCTTAACACCTGATGATACCTAAAGCCCACGATCTTAACACTTGATAACTAAGAACACGGTTGGATTCAATATATGAACTGTCAAGCCAAGGGAATACCACTGTTAAAAAATGAACTACATATGAACCTTATTTAACCTGCTGGCCTCTGAGTGAAATTCCCCTAAGTGAGAAGCAACCAGGTGCTCTGTCATCTTTCTGCTTCATATTTCTTCAGACTCTGCGAGTGTCATCCAGACACCTAAGGGATCTGCAAGGGAATGGCTTCTGTGGGATATTTAACTACTGGCCTGCCATGATTCTAATTCAGTTCTCCCTCATTACAGACTGCAGAGGGCTGCTCCACAGAAATGTCTCTTACCAGCCAAAAGCATGTAGAGCTCCCCCATCTTCGGCTGGAAGTTGATGGCTGCACTGAGGAAATGGAAAGCAGATGCGTACTGCTGCATAGTCAAGTGGACAAGGCCCAAATTATAGAGAATCTTCCACTCTAAAGGTGCCAGGTAGTTGGCTCGTTTCAGGCAGCTGATGGCCTGGAGGAGTGAGGGGGCACTCGGTGAGCGGCTGGGGCGAGCGCAGCAGACCCAGTAACTATAAACACACACCAGGAAGAGGAGGAGACACTCACTGCCACATATTTCTTCTTGCCAAAGAAGCACATTGCAATGTTATTCCAGAGTGGAGGGCTTTCTGTAACACCACACGCTGCAACTTTGTATTTGGTGAGGGCAACATCAAAGTCCCCGTGGGTCTGCATCATGCTGCCTGCTGCCAAGATGGCCTGAAAACATGGAAAGTTCATAATTTAGTCATTCTCAAAAGGCTGTCGGAGTGAAGTAGCCTTCCTGAGTCTAGACTCTCAGTAGGCCCATCAACACTGGTGGGATTGAAAAGCATCTTCCAGGGACCTATACATCCACCGCTACTGGAACAAACGCTCAAGAGGAACACTCTCACGCCCCACACTGTGGCTCTTTGCTGTAATAAAGAAAAGTCTCTGACTTTACCTAGCTCTTTTGTTTCCTACTTGTAGCCAGGGCAGTCACTACCTTAGAGTATCAGGGCCCTTTAAGTAAAAACCACCGTTAACCCGCAGCCCCTGCTTGGTACACGCCAAGTGCTCTAGATGACTCAAGTGCACCTGTCGCTGGCCTCTAAAGATGCAGCTCCTGCCACAGGACAGATGGTGAGTCAGCTTTAGGCTTCCTCAGTCCGGCTTTCCATGTCTCTCAGTCAGGCTAATAGGACTTCCAAGAAAGGACTGAGTCTGTACCCTTAACAACAAGCCTGTTTTACTGCATCTCCCTCAATGACTTATCCACATAATGATCTTCTCATCCCCAAAGTCATAACTGGACAAGAGTTGTAGTCTCCGGTTCATGAGGAATCTGAAGGTCATTTCAGCGTTTGGAGGCTCTAATTTCCTAAGTAACACATACAACTTCACCACCACTGCAGTTCTGCTGTCTGTATAAATTACAGGCCCATTATGACAAATGTGCTCTTTTAGAAGCTAAGAAGCAAAGCACTGACAATTCATAATATTTTCAAATAAGAACCACATTTACTTAATACTTTTCTAAGAAAAAAGTACTTTCTTGGCTATCTGAAATGCATTCTAGGGCCAGATCACCTCTAGGAGCAGTGGGACCACCTGTGTGTGAAGGCTCTGGGGTTTGACAGCTAACAATACCTTGTGGTTGGTAGGGTCATAAGTCAATGTGTTTCCAAGATGTTCAAATGCCTTCTGGTAAATGCCGAGCTTGGAAAAAAGCAAACCAGAGAATTATATCGGGGGAGATGGCATTAGGGAGATTGGCCAACCACACCCTCAACAGATACACCCTGACTTTTCTGGGCTCTTCTGAAAAAAGCTACAGATACCAAATTCTTAGAAAACTAAGGGCCCCACATTTCTTTTCCCTCCTACTTCACTGAGTTGTCCCCTAATAAGGTCAAAGTAGCTCTCTGCCAGGAACCATCTCTGCCACACTGGTGCGGTCACAGACTAAGGACTCCTGGCAGGAAACAGGCTGGTGAGCCTCCTCTTCCCTGGGACCAACCTCCCAAGCCAAAGCGCAGGAAGGTCCAGGGTTAAGCTCCTTAAAGAAAAAGGAAACAAACAAGGACACCACAGAGGCAGAGCTGGAGGCAGGATTTTTGTTCTAGACAATGCTTGGCCTTCTCTAACCCTAACCTGGCTGGGAAGAAGGAACAATAGAAATGGCCTTTGCCCCAAAGCCCTAATACCACCACTGTACTTCAACCACAAAACGCCAGTCTCCCTGACCACAAGTTGTTTCTCATATATGTTCTTTTTATGGTTGGGTAAGACTAGGCTCAAACAGGTGTATTTGCTTCTGATTTGCATGCTGAAAATTAAGTTCATTCCTTTAGCAGACAAAGGGTATCAAGTACAGAGTAAAATTTATGTGCTTCTTATGACCTTTAGTAAATTGTGTTAAAGTAAAAATGCAGGAACCACAACACACAAACCCAAAAGCATTTTTTCCTTTTTTGGCTGTGTGGCTTGCAAGATCTTAGTTCCCTGACTACGGATTGAACCTGTGTCCCTGCAGTAAAAGCAAGGAATCCTAACCACTGGACCACTAGGGGAGTCCCCAAAAGCATTTCTAACATCAATGCATGGATAAGCAAAGTCCTCTTACCTGTAGGTAGAGTAATCCTAAAGTTGTGAGAAGTTCTGTATTTTCTGGTGAGAACCTACAACACAAGAGATGCTCAGAGGGAAACAAGATGTATATGAGCAATACTGAGATACACATGTAGTAACTGCACCTCCCACTCCCCGTAAGAACTCTCAAAGGGATTTGGGAATTTCCTTCAAGAGTACGTCAACCCGGCTATAGGGTTGAAATATAGACAGAAATGGGACTTAGAACCCAGACTCCTTTCTCAGGACCTTTTCTTACAGCCAGAGTCCTCAGAACCTATGGAATATTTTGTGCCACTGTCTTAATTACACTAATAGAATTCAAGAATAATGCCCTATAAACCAAGTCAGTCTAGAACACACACGATTTTAGCTACTTCCCTCTTGTGAGATTTTTGTTGTTTTCACTGTATTCACAATGCCAGCCAGCGTAATTATTTCCTGGGTAATTTAGGATCCCAAGGTCCCTGATGCCCTGCTCTCCACATTAAACAAAAAAGTTACACTAAACATACAAACTAAAGAAGAAAGACATATACCAGCTCTAGGAAAGAATTGGCCATTGGCTTTGTGGAGTTTAACACTGGCTTAAGTAAAAGATTGTCTGTCTTTCCAATCCCTCACTGGCAACTGTCTTTGTCACAAAACAAAAGCAACACTAAGCTGAGATGATCTGACTACAGGATCATTAGACAGTTTCAACAGTGAAAATGGCAAAAAGGTGAAGAACATCTCCTCCTTCTAAGGAATGAGGTAGGGTGCAGGTTACTAATGGGGAGACCAGAGTCACAGGGGCAAAGCCCCTGCCTGGGGAGGCCTGAGCTGGCCAGACAGAGCTTACTCAGTTCAACTAAGTATTTGCTCTTCATTTTCTGCCATAAATTCCCATTCTGATCACCTTCCTCTCTTCAACCAAGTAGGTAATTTCCATGATTCTAGTGGCACCCTTCCCCCTACCAAAACATGACTACTCTGAAGCTGTGGGCCATAAACAATGGTTTCTACCATCTCAGTAAGGCTTCAAATGTTCAGCTGTCCTCCAAATTCTCATTTGAGGATTTCAGTGACTTAAATCCTTAGCCAGACACAGTTAAGAATGTGTCAGTTCAGTCGCTCAGTCGTGTCCGACTCTTTACAACCCCATAAATCGCAGCACGCCAGGTCTCCCTGTCCATCACAAACTCCAGGAGTTTACTCAAACTCATGCCCATCGAGTTGGTGATGCCATCCAGCCATCTCATCCTCTGTCATCCCCTTCTCCTTCTGCCCCCAATCGCTCCCAACATCAGGGTCTTTTCCAACAAGTCAACTATTCACATGAGGTGGCCAAAGTATTGGAGTTTCAGCTTCAGCATCAGTCCTTCCAATGAACACCCAGGACTGATCTCCTTTATATTGATATTTCTCCTGGCAATCTTGATTCCAGCTTGTGCTTCTTCCAGCCCAGCGTTTCTCATGATGTACTCTGCATGTAAGTTAAATAAGCAGGGTGACAATATACAGCCTTGACGTACTCCTTTTCCTATTTGGAACCAGTCTGTTGTTCCATGGAAGAATGTGTAAGCTAATGAAATTAATGTGAGCTAAGCTCAAACAGCCAATTTCTTGAATGCAGGGGTCAGGGGTCAAGGCTGCCAGTCAGCACGACAAAGATTTAACATATGGTCTACCTACTTGTCCCTGTAAATGTAGCCTCTTGATGACAGAAGTCTTTCTTGCAGCCTAACAAATCAAAGGATTTTTTATGTCTTTTTAGATATAAAATATGAAAAAAATTCCAGAAGCAATGTTGTTGTGACTAATGTTAACTAGAGAAGTTACTATCATGGTAGAAGACAAGCGTAATTTCACTTAGTCCAAAGTCTAAGTTTAGTCCAAAGTCTTGTTATCAGGAATAACAGACTTTGTTGCCTTGAACCAGAGGACGTATTCTATCAAATGACCAAACAAATGAGACAAAGCCATTTTGTTACAGCTATCCCACTTAAATCAGACAAGATCTAGGCAGAAAAGATAAGATTTCCTAGAAAGGAGAAACAATACCATACTGGAAACGCCAGTCAGTTCCATTATCAACAGGGGCTAGGCAACAACTTACGGAATGATGGCTTAACATGGGAGGAACCTGGATCCCTGACTGACCTTGTGGAGCAGAGAGCTGCCCAGGACCATCCAGACTGACAGGTGAGAAAGAAACAAGTCATCCTTATTTAAGCCACTGGGAGCTCTAAACTTGAGCTTAACACTTACTCTAACTCACAGAACTCATACAATGTGTAACCAGTCACACATGTCCTCTCTCAGGCATGAGAGATCAGGTCTGCTCCCATTTTTGTTTTAGTTTCTCGTTGCTCTAAAGGAACCAACACACTTACTCCACTGCTTTCTTGTAGATTTCGATGGCCTTGTCCAAGTCTCCCTTCAGCAAGAAGATCTTGCCCAGCATTATGTAAGTCAGATCATGTCTGTTAAGATGTAGGGCACTGAGCAACTGGTCTTGTGCCTAACAAGATTGACAAGAGTACAGAGAACCAAATCACAACCAGGAAAGGACAATGGCTAATGTAAAGAAAGAGCTCCTGCTGTACTCAAGTAGGAACATCACATTTCAGCAAATGTCCCATCGCCCAAAAAACTAAAACATACCCAAACTGTGCTCTCATAGGACAGCTGGAAACATGAAATGTCTGCCTCTAGTGCCACTTGGGGGGCTTCTACAAGAGAATTAACCTTTTTGAGTGTTTTCTGCTTTTTGATATCCATTCCATGACTCATATTCCATGTGTCAAGCGGGATATCATGGTACATAGAGTGTACTGCCCCAAACTTGACCCCAGCTGCACCACTGACCAACTGCACACCCTTCTCCATGGGGGACCTCATTTTCCTCACCAATATTTGGATAAATGAATGAATGAATATTCATTTATTCATTCAATAGGTATCATCAAGTGCCTATTGCTCTAGGTACTAGTATACCAAAGCTAACACAGAAAACTCCTTGCTCTGTTAGAGCTTATGTTGTAGACGATGATAAAGGCGGTTTAGTCCTTCACTGATTCAACAAGTATTTATATAAATGCCAGCTACTGTATTTGCTTAGCCTGTTAGCTTTACAGTAAAATCTAAATATAATTTTCCTCCTCAGTTCAGGTCTGACCAAAAACCAAATCCAGCTCTCTTTTGGCTCAGAATAATCCCATGAATAGATATGTACTTGCTTAAAATTTCTGTGAAGAGAAAAACCTCCTAACCAAGTATATAACACTGAACAGTCAGATCTGCCCAGAAAACCTAATCGACTAAATATCGACTAAATATGTAGATTGTATTTGCACAGATACAGGTATTATTTATTTTTATATATCTCAGAAGAGCAAAAGTTATTCTCACACCTCAAATGCTGATGTACAGTTGTGGTTTTTTTTGAACCCTGAGGGATTGATTACATTGTTTCAGTTTATGAACTGGTACATATTAAATATTATCAAATGAGTATCAACTAATTCAGGTTCTCAGTCCTGTCAGCACTGGAGAAAAGAAAATAAAACTTCAGTCACTAAGTGGGAGCATTATGAAGGAAACTGACCAACCCCACTGTCATTAACTTTTAGAGTTCTCAATAATTTGGTCTACCCTTCAGTTAAGATATATACATTTTTCCCCTTTATCTGAGTACCAGAGTAAGCTCAAAAGTTTTATCTGATCATAAGAGTCTTGGGCACTACAGCCTAATCACAATGAAATATAACAACCTCACGTGGAAAATAACCTTAAAAATGGAAACTCTCACGTCAAACTACTTCAGATTAAAAATTCATTTCCAGTGACCTGAAAACTGAAATATAAGATAGCTCACTTGGCCATAATTACACTTTTAAGACTTACAGATCCACTTTTTTATATTTAAATTTTATTAAACATTTGTGTTTCTATTCTGGAAAATTAAACTAAGGTGTGGAAAATGAGAGAGGAAGAAAGAAATGAGATTGCCATTTCCTCTGTTTCTAGAATTTGTCACTTTCTTGTTAAAAGCAGGGCGAAAAAATCAGATGAAATGTGACAAATAAGAATAAAAATGTGAGTAAACGTATATGGAACTTTCATTTTTTACTTCTAAAAGTCTCTGCAAGCAGTAGGAATAATACAAAATGATCCATGGGACCTGTGTAAAAAGTGTACCCTCAGTGAAATCCCTAGACAACTGCTCACCCACCACCACCACCATTTCTACATATTACCTTGTCAAACTGTTTCAGATAAATGTAGCAAACTCCTAGGTTATGACAGATTTCCTACACACAAAAGAAAAGAAAACAAGTGTAAATTCCACAGTAATTACTAGAGTGTGAACAGGCATCTAGAGATTATTGTTGCTTGATAATATTTAAGCTTGAAAACATGCACTATGGTTAGTTTTTTACCTGAATCTTATTCAGATTATAAGAGATAAAAGCAGAATAAACTGGTGATCTTCCTGGGCCTATGTAGTACCTTTGGGTGCATACCCAGCCCATTCCTATACCTTTTTTTCTCTTAGAGCTGCTCACGGAACAAACCGTTTATGCCCTCTTCTCAGAAGAAACTACCACAGTTCCTTCTCCAGCTCTAAGGAGGGGTGTGGGTGTGGGTGTCAGACTTCTTTTCAACAGGAATCTAGGAATTCAAGCACTAGGTGATATGGACTTGGAGGCTGACAGTGCCATCTGGAGGCCACTACGATGGAGTACAGATATGTGAAAAGTGAAAGTGTTAGTCGCTCAGTCCTGTATGACTCTTTGTGACCCCACAGACAGTAGCCCACCAGGCTCCTCTGTTCAGGGGGTTCTCCAGGCAAGAATACTAGAGTAGGTAGCCATTCCCTTCTCCAGGGGAACTTCCCTACCCAAGGATCAAATCCAGGTTTCCTGCGTGGTCCTGTGCTGCAGGCTTCTGCAGACTGGCTCCAATTTCAGATATGTAATTGGATATGTAATTGGGGCCTATCTGCAGAAGTCTGCAGCACAGGTCAGCAAACTACAACCAATGGGACAAATTCAACCTCTGCCCCTTTCTGTAAATAAAGTTGTATTAGAACACAGTCACAACCACTTGTTATGGATCCTCTATGGTTCTTTCATAGAACTTCAGAGTTAAGTAATTGCAACAAAGACTGTATAAAGCTGCAAAGCTTAAAATATATACTAACCTGACCTTCAACCCTCCCCCCCCCAAAAAAAAGCCAACCTCTGATCTACAGAAAGAAAAAAACAGCAGAAATGCAGAGAAGCTAACTTGGTTGCTGACAGCTTTCCAGTTCTAGTTCACTGCAAGACCAATCTGTATTTCCTGACCTTGTGTTCTATATAATCTCTTTAACTCCATTATATTAAGTCTTTTTTTAACGCAGTTTTAAAGAAAGGAAAAGGCAAGGGTGAGGAAACTGCTCCTGGGAAACAGTAAGTGAGGAAGTGCAGAAGCACATGCAGACCCAGGAGTGTCCCTCTCTGAAGAAATATGAACCTTCAAGGGCTTAGAGACAACTGTTTAATGTTTTCCAAGTTGCCTAAAATAACAACAAAATTGCAATCAGTGATCCTATGCCAGATGTTTTTCACATATATTACTTTAATTTTCCTAGCAAATCTGAAACATAAGTATAACAATTCTGATTTTAGGAATAAGGAAATTGAAGCTCAGAGAAGTTAAGCAGTTTGCTTAATACAGAAAGCATCAGCACAGAGATTTTTCTTTTTTCTTAGTTTTTTTTTTTTCCCATTTGTTTTTATTAGTTGGAGGCTAATTACTTTACATCATTACATTAGTTTTTGTCATACATTGAAATGAATTAGCCATGGATTTACATGTATTCCCCATCCCGGTCCCTCCTCCCACCTCCCTCTCCACCCGATCCCTCTGGGTCTTCCCAGTGCACCAGGCCGGAGCACTTGTCTCATGCACCCAACCTGGGCTGGTGATCTGTTTCACCCTAGATAATATACATGTTTCGATGCTCTTCTCTTGAAACATTCCACCCTCGCCTTCTCCCAGAGTCCACAAGTCTGTTTTTCTTAGTTTTAAATCTTAAAGAATTTCAAGAACATGGAAGCAACCTAAATGTCCATCAACAGAGAAATGGATAAAGAAGACATGGTCATATATACAGTAGAATATTACTCAGCCATAAAAAAATGAAAATGTGCCATCTGCAGAGACTTGGATGAACCTAAAGATAGTCATTCAGAGTAAAGCAAGTCAGAAAGAGAAAAAAAAAACTGTATAATATCACTTATATGTGAAATCTAGAAAGATGACACAGATGAACTTATTTGCAAAGCAGAAACAGAGACACAGATATACCAAACAAATGTATGGCTACCAAGGAGGGGAGGGGGCAGGGATGAATTGGGGGATTGGAAATGACATCTATACACTACTATAAAAAACAGCTAATGAGGACCTACTGTATAGCACAAGTAACCCTACTCAATGCTATCTGGCAACCTAAATGGGAAGGAAATTCAAGGAAGAAGGGATATATGTATACGTATGGCTGATTCACTTTGCTATACATCAGAAAATAACACAACACTGTAAAGAAACTATACTCCAATAAAAATAAAGTAAGACTGTAATGACCACTGCACAACTCTGTAAATATATTAAAAAACAATGAATCATATACTTTTACTAGGTGAACTGTATGGTATTTGAATTATATATCAATAAAGCTGATAAAAAGAAAGAAAAGGATTTCCTGGTGGTCCAGTGGCTAAGAATCAGCCTGACAATGCAGAGGACACTGGTTCAAACCCTGGTCCAGAAAAATCCCACATGCCGTGGTGCCACTGAGGCCGTGTGCCACAGCTACTGCGACTGCACTCCAGAGCCTCCCGAGACACAGCTACTGAGCCGCATGCCTAGAATCTGTGCTCTGATGAGAAGCCATCACAGTGAGAAACCTGCACACACCATCAAGAGTGGCCCCTGCTCACTGCAACCAGAGAAAGCCTGAGCACAGCAGCAAAGACCCAGTGCAGCCAAAATAATAAATGTTAAAAAAAAAAAAGAAAGAAATGGTCTCGGATTGCTAAGGGACTATTAAAAAAAAAAAAAGAGTATCAACATATATAATATGTAAAGAATCACCATGTACTCATTGTCTTGCTCCAACAACCATCCAATCCACACCCCGGCATCCATCCCACTACTTCTGTAAGCAAATACCAGGTAATAGAACATTTTACCCAAAAATGTTTCAGTTATGTATTCCTCTTTTTAATTTTCATTATTTATGTATTTATTTGGGCTGTGCTGGGGCTTCACTCCTGCACCTGCTTTTCTCTCGCTGTGGTGAGTGAGGGCTCCTCTCTGTTGAAGTCTACTCATTATGGTGGCTCCTCCTGTTATGGAGCACGGGCTCTGGGGCGCGCAGGCCCCCGTGGCTCAGTAGCTGTGGTTCCCAGGTTCCAGAGCACAGGCTCACTAGTTACAGTGCATGGGCTTAGTTGCTTCTCAGCATGTGGGATCTTCCCAGACCAGGACTTGAACCTGTGTCTCCTGCATTGGCAGGCAGACTCTTTACCACTGAGCCACCAGGGAAGTTCCTCGGTATGTACTTCCAAAGGATAAGATCTCTCTTTTTTAAAATCTACCCACAATACCATTATCATACTTGGGGAAAAAAAAAATAGTTACTGCTTAATATCTGATATTGAATCATGTTCCAATTTCTGATAAATGACTCACATTACAAGAAATTTTTCTTAAATCACAACCCAAAATATGTCCACATATTGCCAAGCAGTGGGATTTGAACCCAGACCTGTCTCTAAAAGTAGGGCTGTAATTCTCTTTCCAACTCCACAAGTACATTCCACTTCATCACCCTTTAAGAATGTACACACGGAGCTGGAGAGAAGAGAAATATAGTCTACTTGTCCTTTAATGTCCTGGAAGGTAACTAATGCCCCTACCCTTTTGAAAATATTTGCCATAGTTATTACTTGGCAAAACAGCAGCAATATGCCTTAAACAAACTGACAGCCAAGGAAATTTTTTAATTTGTAAAGAAAACTAGAACAAATCAGAGTTAAGTTCTGTTTTTCATGGGGTAAGAGGATGCAACAGACATCCTGCAAGGGCAATTGATACAGTGGAAAAATTACAGGCCTAAAGTGAGGGATCCTGGATTCTAGACCTGAATTCTGGCTCCATTTTTGCCATTACCTCACTGTGTGCCCTTCAGCAAGTCATTCCATCTCCAAAAGTCTCAGCTTCCTCATCTAAAAGTACAGGAAATCCTCCCTACTTAACAGCTGCTCCAATGAGATCATGGCAAGAGGAATTATTATTCTCCTGCTGCAGCTAGACTGTGGAATACCCTGATGAGTCCAAGAAAGTGGAGCTACAGGTTTTCTACAGGCCACAGGCACTCATGAAGCATCAGGGCAGAGAATGGATGTTTGAGAAATGACCACCTCTACTGGCACCAATGGACTTGTTATCCCAGATGAGTAATACCAAATGAACCTTTCAACCAACTGGACAGACTGGTAAACATTCTCCCTTTCCCCCCGATCCCGTCCCTGAGTTCACCTATCTCACTTCCTCTCTATCTCCCTCTATGGGCTCATTTTCTCTTCAGCTCAGCCCTTCAAACTGTTTTTTCCAGGATTCCATCCTCAGCTCACTGCAGAGTGATCTCATCCAATTTCATGGTTTTAATCATCACCTTTGTGTTGACTCCAAAACATGTATCATCCCAGAACACTTGAGCTTCAGATTTCTATATACAGCCATGTATTGGATACATCTCAATTTAGATATCCTGCCAGAAGCTACAATTCATCATGTCCATAATCTTCTGAAAATACAATTTAATTCTAATTTGTTATCACCACCCTCTCCCCTAACTTGCCTCTCCTTCCTTCCTTATTTCCGGGTTAATTGTCCCATAAACCACCAATCCACCTTTTGCATCTGCAGCCCAGTGCCTGGCACACAGCAGACATTCACTTGTTGAAAAAAGTGACTAAATGAACAAAAGAGTAACTCACTTTTCCTTTATCTGGAGCTTTACTTTGGCCTGTGGCTATAAAATACTCAATGGCAAAAAGACTTAAACATCTCAGTCTTCAGATCTGCAGAAGAAAATGACTGACAAACACATCTAAAAAATAACAGGGCCGTAAGAACTGCAGGCAAAACCCATGCTAGCTCTTTCTACTAATCAATCTAATCCTTCACTGTTTGATATATCTAAGAATCTCCTTCATTCTTAGATATATCTTTCTAAGAATCACAGGTATTTTGAAAAAACCATCAGCATGAAAAAAAAGAACCAAAATAAAGAGAGGAAGAAAAAGATAATTGTGGAACGCAGAAGAGAACTTCAAAGGGTCACAGACATGAAGAGGCAACCATAAGAAAAGACAGAATTCTTGAAAATTAAAAATATAATTACTAAAATAAAAAATACTGAATATGAATATAGCTAAAAACAAAAATGATGACTTGGAAGATATGATTGAGGAAATATCTCTGTACAGCAAAGACAAGGATGTGGAAAAAATATGAGAGGCAAGTTACAAGACAACGAGAACAGATGCAGAACACGTGTAATAGAGAGTAGAAAACAGTGTGGCAAAAGCTCCTAGTTATCTACCTAATATTTACTCTTTCTGATTACCTTACTAAGAAAAACCTAATTACATTTAGAGTGACAATGTGTTCAACTTAAAAACTATATTTCCCATTCTTCTTTATAAAACAGGTAGTCGATATAATGTACGTGGAAGTATGTCAGGAATTTCTGGGAAAGCTATACTTTCTCCGCAAAGGTTATGTCTTTTTCTCTTTGTTGCCTCCTCTTTCTCCCTTCTAGAATAATGATGTGGTGTTAGAGCTGTAGCAGCCATCTTGTAGCCATGAAGAAAAAGTCTCAGTGTTGTTGTCAAATCAATGTCAGTAACTACTTTCCTGGGCTTCTTGTTACGTAAGAAAAAAATAAAACGGTAATTTGTAGAGTCAGTGTTTAATGTTTTGTTGCAGTTACACACAATCCCTAAATGATACAGACAATGGAGAGGAAAAAATAATCGAAGAATTACTCAAAAAAAAAAAAAAAAACCACCTCTCTATCCAAAGGCAAGGGTCTTCAAAGTGAAAGAGCCAACTGAATGCAAAAGAAAAGAAACACATCATGACAACTATTACTGGTATTTCAGAACTCCAATAATAAACAGAAAATCCTCAAAGCTTCTAGACAGGAGAGTGGGGTTATCAACAAGAATCAGACTAGTAACAGACTACTCATCAACAACACTTATACCAAGAAAGCTTGGCAGCACTGTCTGCTGAGTTATGAGGAAACCTAATTTTTGATCTTATACCTAGGTCAAATCATCAATCAAGTGTGAGGATAAAATAAAGACAGTTTTGGCATGTAATAACTCAGTAATAAATACAAATGATAGCTATATGATAAATGAAACCGTCAGCATGTTACTAATAACAAAGAACGAAGTTCCCTACTTACCCAGTCTTTCTGATTAAGTTTAGCTGCTTCATTATATACTTCAATGGCAGCTTTATGTTTTCCCAAAAGAAATCTGGGGAAGAAACACATTTTCTGTAATTATTAACATAAAGTTTTTCATAAGACCAACCCCACTAGTCCCACATTTGACTCACGTTCCAGCCAGCAGCGAATTTTGGAAGCCTCTTCCTTATGAGTGGCTTGTGCAGGTTTAGCCAGTGAGACTCTTATATACCAAAAGCAGAAGCTCTTGGTAGGGACAGAGCTGGTAGCTGTGCCAAGGCCTTGGTCCCATTCTATACCAATTTTAGTGGAAGTGTTAGTTGCTCAGTTGTGTCCAATTCTGCAACCCCATGGACTGTAGCTTGCCCGGCTCCTCTGTCCATGGAATTCTCCAGGCAAGAATACTGGAGTGGGTAGCCATTCCCTTCTCCAGGAGATCTTCCTGACCCAGGGAATGAACCCAGGTAACCTGTGTCTTCTGCACTGCAGGTGGACTTTTTACCAACTGAGCCACCGGCGAAGCCCCAGTTTTAATGAAAGTCTTGTGTAATTTATTTTCCCAATGTACAATAAATGTAGACCAAGAAATAAGCCAAATTAATTCCATGTTAAACAAGAATTGCCACAATTTTTCATCATCATGTATTAGGGACATGCCCTTCTCTTCCAAACTAAGTCTCTTTCCTTGATACTAATTCTGGAGACACAGGGGAAAATCAGCCTCTGTGCAAAGACAGTGTATCAATGACACTGCAGGTTAGAAAGGGTGGAAACTCCATAGATCACTCTATTACTCTGGAGTAGTAAAGCTGTTAGTACTTAAAAGCTTATAAAAGATTCTAGAGAATGCCAGAATCCAGGAGCCTTCAGAGCATTCACTTAACAAACACTACAAAACTACTGTGTATATAGTAGTATGCTAAGTATTGGAACAGAAGACAAGACAAATTCCATGGGCGGGCAATATGATTAGGGTACTTGAAGCACAAAATGTTCCTATTTGAGAAATACTATCAGTGCTCTCCTATCAAACTAGCATATGCAGTGTTTGAAATACTCAGTTGCTTTATACCAGTTATCTTATTTTCTCAAACTTCAAAATTAATCCACACTCTTCAAAGTGAATTCGTTACACTTCTCTCTAAGCAAGCCCCAGCCTGAGAATGCACTTTCCACTATCCTCCACCAGTGCCCCAAGGTCTCCAGCCTGCCAATACTCACAGAGATCTGGCCACCTGCTTGAGGTTATCAGCACACTGAGGGCTGAGGACTGCACACATCTGAAAAAGTCCTAGGGATTCTTGGATATTTCCTTCCAGGCGCAATATCAAAGCTGCCGAGGCAGAAAACACAGAAAATAAAATCATGTTCTAAGAATGGAGCCTGGCATGTGAAAAACTGGAGAAAGAGGGAAGTAGGAAATCTTACCAAAGAAACCCTTTGGATAACTGTGTCTTAAAATACAATCAGATATGACTTCAGATGGATTGAAACAAGCAGCAAAGTTGGTGATGAGCTAAAACCTTTTTTTAAAGGTATCTGGGACCTACCTATTTCTCCACTCCCAGCTTCCAACAGGCAGATAATTGGGTGCCTTGTAAATTATTCCAGAAACTCTTCACTGTAAGAACATTCTTATAGATCCTATCAGATACTCTATTAATCATGGTAATTCCAACTTCACCTGATAGTTTTCAGAGAGTACACCCAAATGGGGCATGTGCAATCAAAAACCCAAGTCCAACAAAAGATGCTGGCAAAGAATGCAGTAATATTTCAGAGCTGGTTCTCAGTCTAGCAACCAATCAGAATCAATCATTTTTCCTAGACCTAAGCTTTCAGAAGATTTACATGCTTAAGTAGTATGAGGCACTGTAAGTCTGGAACTGGTGATATTGGGAATAAATGAGCATTATTTTGCCACAATGTCCTAGATATGTTAATATATTACCAATTATGTCAGAAAATTGCATATTAATCTGAAGACTACAAACGCAGAGTGGGAAACAAAACCATTCATTTATGTCAAAGAGTCAAAAAGAAAGTTCCTGGTGCCCAGTAGCAAACAAGGATGCTACTTGGGCACCAGAGAGTAAAATCCCAGCCAATCCCTCTAATCCCTATATCATTCAGTCCCTATAATATTTGATTTCTGATGACTTCCATTTATTCTCTGCTTTGTCCTGTATACCTCTAGGCTTCTTCCCTTCATCCTGACTCACCATACAAAAAATACTCAAGCTTTTTCTCATCTCTTCTAGCTTGACTACAAAGAATTCTCGAAAAGCCTCTTTTGGGCCCAACACTGCTGCAGGAGGCAGCGACCCTAACAACAATTCTGAAAAACACTAGCCAGAAACTAGAATAGGGGTGAAGGACAGTAGCAAGCTTTTTTTTTTTTTTTTTCCAGTGTCCAAATTACTTTTATTTAACTTTTATATTTTCTAATTTGGGGATAGGGGAACCAGTTAATCCTCTTATTGTGTGGCAAAAGAAAAGTGCACTTCTGGGGAAGATGGCAAAAGAGAAGACAGGCAATCAGCTAGGTTGGAAATAGGATAGAAAAATTAGATTTAAAAATTCAGAAAGAAAATTGAGGCAGAGTGTAGAACAGAAAACTCGGTGGTCTTTGTATTGCTCACTGGAAAGATGTTTATAAATTCTGGCATTATTGTTATTTTTTTCTCCTGTAATAGGATAGGGCTAAATAAATTTAATGTATGTTTCCTAAGGAGAGGGTCATATGCAATTTCAAAGTAAATTAGATATTTATAATATATTTAAGTTACATTTCTAGAGGCAGGCATGTTATCTAAGTTCATGGTGGCTCAGTGGTAAAGAATCTGCCTACAATGCAGGAGATGCAGGTTTGATCCCTGGGTCAAGGAGATCCCCGG